AAAAGATTCAAATACTGAAAGATTCAAATACTGAAAGATTCAAATACTGAAAGATTTAAATAGAAAATATTACTTGCCTATTTTCTTGTTTCATTATTTTCAAATTTTCAGCTAATTTAGGCCGATATCCACATTGCTTCGTTCCATAGTCAGAGATATGTGATGAATTATCATTCTATAAAGAAATATTATCTTCTCAAAATATGAATTTTGAGCTAAGTAAATAAATAACTGATTTGAAATTATTAATAAGCAAAAATGCTTGAGATAAGAAATTAAAGAGTTTTCATAAAAATAGCTTCACATCATGCATTAGCATAAGATCTGTATTAATGGTGTAACAATAATAATTTGTATTATATATAATTAATTTTAATAATAATTTATGTGATATATAACTAATTTTGATGGTAATAGTGCTAAATGTGCGTTGATAGCACAAAGCTAACCTGATAAATTTCTGAATATGTGAATGTAATTTGGATTTTAGCAGATTCATTACTTGAAGATAGACTGTGATGAAAAGGTAGTGAATTTCTAAATGTTAATCGTTCATTTGGATTAATACTTGGTCCTGCATAAGTATGCGAGTGATTAACTTAGTTGAGAAAATAAAATAAAAGAAAAAACATTATTTTATATTTTATTTGAAAAATCAGTTGAAATAAAATATTTAAAAAAATTTATTAACTTTATTTTTAACTTATTAACTTTATTAGGACATGAAAATGTCTCAAAAATAGAATAAAATGTAGAAATTTTGCAAATTTCAAACTATATAACAATTATTAGACAATAAGAATCTATTTTAGTAATAAATAAAATTAATTTAGAAAAAGTAAGCGAATTTTTGAGATATTCATATTCATACCTCCAAACAAATTAATTCTGATTTCGTTGTTTGATTTAAAATTTGTTGTAGATGGACACCAAGCACCCCATGACACTATCACTGATTGTGATGAATGTATGGTTTTCTAAAAATATTTGTTATAATTTTAATTATTAATAATGCTTGCTTACTTTTATATGTTTAAAAATAAGGTATGCAATTTATCAATGCAAGTTATAATAAATGCTTACATCATATGAATAAACTCCAACCAAATAATCAAGTGAAAAAACTATAGCAAAACGAGGATCAGCAATTACTCCATGCATAATTATACTTCCATCCATGAAAAGATCGCGCAGGCATGATCTTCAAATTTTTTAGTACCAAAATTTAATACAGAAGTATACGATTAAATATGCTCTTCTATGATGAATTCTTGAAAAAAAATTTTAAATATGCTATCTAACATTAAATTTACGATTATTATTATTATTATTATTATTATTATTATTAGTCTAAAATTTAAAATATGAATAAAATTTACACTGATTCCGATTTAATGATGGGTGTGTTGTGCGTAATTCGAGAAAAGCCATGAACTTGGTCATTTAATGAGTTCAGATGCATACACTGTGGTCCTTCAACGTAACGTAAACCATTGTGAACCCCAATCTGATTAATTTATTATAAATTATTGATTATACAAAAAAAATTCTTCGTATCTCATTTCTTTAGAGTTATTTTTATTTGTAGTTTCTAATCAATGAAAAGATAATTATGGTAATCGGTATTTTTTGGACTCAATTTTACAGCTACCAATAATTTATTGATAAGTTATTGTTAAAAGAGATAGAAATTGCAAATAAAAGTTACTCCAAAAAATAAATAAATATAATAAACTTATTTTAAAATATTAGCTTAAATAATTTATTATTATCAATAAATAAACTTATTTTAAAATATTAGCTTAAATAATTTATTATTATCATAAAAATCAAATCGTTATCATTAACACACCATGATTCTCCGTTCCAATACTTCCATTGATTTGATATTGATATCAGCTGGTGATCTATTTGCTCGATAAAGCCTATCATTATTCAGTGAGTGAAGAATAATTTGCTCAAATTTATCATAATCTATGCCAAAAGATATTTTTAATTCGTTTATAATTAAATTCTGACTTTTCAGTGCTTTTGGAATTGCCATTTTCAACTGATCTGAATAATTCACAATTATTATTACTTCATTTTTTTTTTCAAATGTTTATTGCATACAAATACAAATAAAAAATAATCACTATTTTTGTTTCATTTTTAAAATCATTTTTACAGCAAATTATCATGATAAGAATTATTATATTCATGATAATGAAAATGCATTACTTAAATATTTACTCAATGTGTATATACGAAACAAAAATTACTTAACTATTATGTGATAAATGTAATCCTGGAATATCTTCCCATCGACTAAACATGAACCAGTCAGGAATAAAATTTAAAACTGCATTCATTGCTTGATATGCTTGTGAGGAAATCAATAAACTACCAGCAACTTTCCAAGGTACTGCTGAAGAATCTTTGTACAATAGTGCTTTGGGAGATCCCAAATACAAAGGCAGTCTAAAAGAAAACAAAATTAAACGTTGATGAATCAAAATTCAAAGGTCTAATAATCTATTCCTACAAATTTAAATATTTTTAATTATCTAAAAATATTCTCTGTAAATAATTTGTAAAAGATAAGCGAATTGGAGCATAAGCAGAAAAAGACTGCCTAATATTGAAAGTTAGTCTGTACTGAATTACTTATTATATATTTTTAATACTACCTTTTAAGATCTGATTTTTGATCAAGATTGCGATCTGGGATGGATTTTCCATCATTCTCCAATCTTAGCGAAGTCCATGCTGCTGTGAAAAAGTCTGAAGTTGTTAAACTTTCTTCACTTTCAACCAATTCCAAAACAATATCGACATTATCGTTAAATGAAGTCCAATAAAAAATTGGCTAAAATTTTGATACAGATACTTTTGAAATTTTGTACTACAATAATAATACTTAATTAGCCTGTAACAAATTACTTATTATACATATTTAGTAATATATTATAATAATACTTGAAAAAAATTCAAATTCTCAGTCGATTAATTGATCCATTACATGATCAATTTATTAATTACATGATTAATTTATTTCTTGTATTTTTTGAAATATGAGCAAACCTCGTCAAACCTAATAGTAGAAGCAGTATATTGGTGCCATTCGCCATAATATGGTTTGCCAAAAAAGTATTTTTGCTGACTATCGTAGAAATAAGCGTGAATTCGATAAAATACGTTAGCTTTCAACTGCAAAATATTTTTAACTTTATTTATTAGTTGAAAACTTTTGTACAAAATTTTTGATGAAAAATTAAGGCGATAAATAACAAGGCTGAAATTAGTGTCATTTATTTATTCTAACTTATATACGAGTTTTAGACATTGCTGAGAATCCAATAAGTGATTCTTTAAATTTGTTATTAATTACATTTAGTAAAAAAGTTATTACATTAGTTTCAGCTGTACGTATTGTTAGCATGTAGCATTGTGGTTTACAGTATTTAAAATTTGATACAGCGCTATTTTTATCCTCAAGTGTACCATATGATCTTGCTGATGGAAAACGTGGAGGAACACGTCGACAAAGTTGCATTTTATGGTACCATTCTTTGATATTATTAGTAATGTCTTTGTCATCTTCAAGCATTGCTCTGAAAGTTTGAATTTATGTAAATAATGAAGTTTACCATCAAGTAATTTCAAAAATGTTTGAAATGATAGTTTGCCACCGGATATTCAAATGTAAAAATATGCAAAAATGAATACAAATGTTTGAATTCAAAAAGTTAAAATCAAAAAAATACTGAAAATTTTTAAGGTAATATAAATATTTTAACTATAAGACCTCAAATGTTAAAGGTTAAAAAGATTTGCGAAAATTACCATAAATTTGAATATTAATGACAATTACATCATAAATCAACAAATAAAATATATGTGACGAGGAGTATAATTTAAGAAGATAAGAAATGAAAATTAAGCTATTTTAAAATAATAAAAATTAGCCAAGCAAATATTATCATACTAGTAACGTACAAGAAAGAGGTCAAGTCTGAGCTGGCACACTAGATTAGAACTGATCAGTGAAACAGATCAAACCTAAACTTTTCAGATTAAAAATTTCATAATAACAGGTCAGTTTTAATTTTACAGACTAAAATTGATGAAGAAACACATTAAAAGCAAATATATGCAGGCAATGTATCATATTTCAATCTACATGATGTATCCATAGTAACTTATATCAATTTTCTAGTTTTGAATTACGCGCTCATTTACAGTACCAAAGTTCTTGCAACGAAAATGTGATGCTCAGAAGTAATGCGGAGCTATAAAGTGAGTACTAATCGATATTCATGAATGGGTTTTCTTTATGTGTGGTTTGATCTTTTGTCGGTACTTCGTGGTGGGGCGGTCTTTAGTATTCCATGTGTTATTGATTTGGTGTTTTATGAGTACTTTATTGACTAATTTTATTGATTTGTTTGTAAAGAAAAATGCTTGAATGAAAAGTGAAAGTGAGGTTTTTTTTTTTCTGTATAGTTCCTTTTTTATCGAAATTTGCATGGGTATTAATCAAGTGCTTGCTTAGTTACAAAGTTATATAGTGAGAAAGTTGGCGGATCAAATTATTGTCGGTTTTTGAAGAAAACTTGTTACATCTAAAAACTTATATGTTTCATACTTGGTTTAGTATTGTAGAGATTAATTTTTGTTAAAAGTTTCTCGGAGAAACAAATAGATGTCGTGAATTCAGAATGATAATGTTGATTTAATTAATTGCAGTGGATGGTTTTTTATTTTATTTGCTGACTTTAGGCTAGTTCGGTTAATTGCACGCATAAGCATATTTTTATTCACTTAATTCTTTTGAGACTGTTCTTAACGGTTGGATCTTCACGGATCCGTTACTAAGTTTTTCAGATCATGTTTCGCTTTTGTTATATTTTCTTATTGTTCTTGTTATATGTACATATTGATAAAGCTAGAAATAAAAGTAGTGAAAGGCTCATTTTTAAGTCTCTGTTTGTGGTATTCTGCTAAACGCTGTGAGCTTTACTATGATTGCTCACTTTCGTAAATCCTATTTATGAGAATGGTTTCCATGTTACAGGTCATGATCACCGTAAATAATATAATGGTAGAAACACCGAAACCAAGTTCAAGTAAGTGTGATCAAGGAAATACGTTTGTACCTAAAGTTACTTCGTCTTCAGATGTTTTACAAGATGATGAGGAACAGAAATCATTAATGGATGATATCATGTCAAAAATTAAGCCAAGCAGTTTTGGTCAGAAAAGGTATGCATTTTTATTACTAGCAAGGTTTTAGTGTGTCTCACAGGTTGTTCACTTGCATCATGTTAGCAATAGCAGTTTCAGAATGTATTCATCGATAAATATATCGGCAGATAAATGGTTGCTTACACTAGATAAAAGTTCAATCAGCAAACTGGAAAACCCACCTTCTTTAGCAGATGGATTAGACAGAAAAACGGAATCGGTATTTTTAAATATTCCTTTGAATGACCTTTTGATTGCATTCATATGTTTAATGTTTTTCTTCTTAGGATCTACGTTATCTTGGTTGTGAAATTATTCAGTCAGGTGCAATATTGCTTCGTATACCTCAAGTAGCAGCAGCTACTGCACAAATTCTGTATCAGCGATTTTACTATCAGAGATCATTTGTTCGTCATCATTTTGAGGTATGCTTTGATTCTATTTTCCGTAGGTGGACAACCATTGCTGTTTTATTAGAGCATTTTATACATAGGTTCCATACCATATTTGAGAGAAAGACCTAGCAAGCTATTCTCATGAAAAAATACCAACTTTAGCTTTTTTGCAAGAGAGCACATTAGAAGAGATATTGCTTATTACTTGAACCTTGATGGTATATAAATTTGCTTTCAATGAGAGAATTTTCGTTTTGTTATGAATATGAAATTATTTTTATATTTCTGTTATGAATATGAAATTATTTTTATATATAACGGGTATTGCATCTTTAACTTCCATAAGATGAATAATTTATTCACTCAAATTATTTTAGTATACAGTAATGGCATGCCTTTTGTTAGCGAGCAAGATTGAGGAAGCACCTCGTAGGCCACGAGATGTTATCAACGTTTTTCACCGCTTAGAGCATTTACATGGCAAACGAAATGAATCAAAGAAGTAAGTACAACTATGAATTCTTTTTATATTATTACACAGGTTTAGCGCGTTAGATGAGAAAGTTCGATTATACATAATCGGAATCATTTACAGAAGTAATGGTATTTTTTTGTGTTTATTTGATTTTTTAAAACTTTTTTTCGATATAGTTACGAATTCGGATTCTCGCTGTTCTGTAGGCATCGTCAGATTTGCGCATTCAGATCGCTGTTTTATCTTGTTGATGTCTTCTGTATCTTTGTATATTTATAAGAATGTTTTAAAATATGAAAGTATATAAAAAATATATAGCAAATTTTGTTATTTCGGAAGATTTTTTGCATGGTTATGCAACTTTTACAATTTCAGGCGGCGCTTTTTTTCGTCGTTCTGAGATTTCTACTAGGATATTTGTGTTCTGCCGTTATGATGACAGAATACAAATTAGTTATGTTGATATTTTTATAATTTGAGGGTGATTTTATATTAGTGCAGGATTGTGAACACTACTATAAAATGTGTGGGGCTTGTTGTTGGTTCATAAATAGGTTTTTGCCCTTGTAGCAACCATTGCAGATTCTTTCGGGAATGACGATTTTAATCATTTACGTGAGGATCTTTTTAGAAATCTAAATTATGCGAAGCATTTTGACATGGATACCTATCTACTTGGTTTAAAATTTCATTGCATATAATGCATTTATTAATTAAAATGTGCATAAACAGGTGAATTATTTAAAAATAATAGCTACTGCATGGCGACTGGTGTTGCATATTTGACAGATTATGGTCCATAGGCTTTGTTGAGACCTCTGGACTTGATCTCATATTTGTTTATCATCGTATTTTATATCGACCGCTTAATATCTGAAAATAGGTAGTGGATGGTTTGTCGATTTATTTTGCGTGGGACCTTTTATACCTCATTAAAAAGGGTGGGTTATTGCAAATTTATCAAATATATATATAATGATATTTTTAATCACTCCAGGTGACACAAGGCTGGAAGAGCGGAGACACGTATGGCAGTTAAAATGCGTGTGCCCCCACTCTCTTGTACGGTCACCACATCCATCCATTCTACAGAGATGAATGATGAATGAAGCATATTTGGAGCTCTCTTCAAGTTGGATTTCGTCTTTTACTGAATCTCTCTGTGTGTTATCAGACTGCCTATCAGTATGGAGTCGTCGTATGTACACTGTCGATGCTGTTGTTTACACGTGCACTGCAGTGTACTTCACTTGCTGTCTGGTTGCACGTTGATGGCATGTGGTGTGGACGATTGTGCAAGTTACAACTGTCTTCCTAATGAAATTTTTTTCAGTAAACCACGGTAAAAGCTACTGCTTATTTATATTAGCAGTGTAGAGTACTTTTTGATTTTTACTTTGCGTCTGAAAATTTTACAAGGTGTTCGAACATGATGATATTGACTGAATTTCTAATATGGTAAGATTGTTTTGACTTAGAGAAAAATAACCACTGCTAATAAACTAATAAAAATTTTTGAATTTTTTCTTGGCTTTATGTGATAAGATTTATCGCCCTTAAGGTTTTTAATATGACTTTTACTTTTCCTAGCAAGTTATAAATTTGGCCCACTCATTTTTTGAATGTTTGATATAATGCTCTTCGTCTGTAGATTATTGTATTTATTAACAGTTCTCAGTGATGGTTATTTATCGAAGATCAAGGCAGCAACGATAGAAAGGTTTTCTTTTCTGT